ACTATAGGAAACCAAACGGTTGGACTTACCAATTTTAAAATGAATTCATAATAGCCAGTTTTTACAAGAAATTAAATGGTGCTGTTTATGTTGTACTTGATGTACTTATTTTAATGACGAAATTGACAGTTAATGATTATTGCGCCATTTTTTTGTAATAAGCATACAAACATAAGCACGTTTTGCACATAGAAAGCGTTATGGCGGGAGACACTCAGATCACCTTGCTGTCAATTCAGTATTTACAAAAACAGTTTTCTTTAAATAATGCTAAGTGGTTTCATAAGTGATTTAGTAACTTTGTGAATTGCAAATTATTGTTTAGCGATACAGGTGATTATACCACCCAAGAAACGCCCTTTCTATGGAAAGTCTTCTGCTACTAAAAGAATGCAAGCACAAAGAGCAGCTGAAACAGAAGAAGAACGCAATCAAAGAATTCAAACACAAGCTTCAAGACAGGCTGCTCAAATACAGGAAGAGACTTTGAAACAACGTAAAGTTAGACTTCGAGCTCAAGCTGAAAGGCAGGCTACTCAAAGACAGCAAGAAACTGTTAAACAGCACAAAGCCAAAGTTCAGTCAGAATCATCAAGGCAAGTTCGATATAGACAACAAGAAACTTCTAAACAACGTCAAACCAGACTTTAAACACAAAAATTAAGACAAATAACTTACAGAGAGCAAGAAACAGAGGAGCAACATGATGTACGACTTCAGTCTCAAAGAACAAGACAAGCTCAAACACGATCTAATTTCAAATAAAGCTTTGTTTGATTAAATGCTTTTTATTTCTCGCATCACGCGTTTGTTTACTTACTGAATAATTTGCTGAAAAAAATACTGAACTATACATTTCAAATCTAAATTTCACCCTGCATTTCTGGGTAATTCAGCTAGTAAACGATAAACAAAACATAATTGAAATAAATAACAGAAATTGTTACCTCACAAATTTATAATGATTTTTATATGATTTCTGCTTTTATTATTGATATAAACTTTTTTTTTTTGTTCAAAAATTGTTATGACTCTGGAAAATCGGGCTTCGATTGAGTAGCCTTCTGCGTATATCACAATAAACGAAAAATCCAATATAAGCTTTTCAGAAAACAACAACAACAAATACTTAAGTGCCCTCTTATGGTAGTTAATCGATCAGTGAAATCACATGCTTTGCTATAATAAAATACGCTTTTGAATAGCGAAACGCTGTGCGAGGAATAAATTGATGATTTGACGATATTAAGGTAAACTTTTGATTTTTTTAACACGGAAGTTTATAGTTGCACTTATAGCAGTAGTATAAAAACAAGTACCCAAAATACTATTAAACAAATTGCGTAAAAGTAATAAGTTTATTTTTACGTTACAGTTTATATTACGTAGTTTTCATATACATAGATTATTAGATAATAATGCGATGTTCGTTGGTGTGAAAGTTGTAGCCTGGTACACGGGGGGCAAGGTCAATTTGCACGGCGGAGGAAGGCAAGTGCGCTCTTGTAACAGTTTTGTGACTGTGATTTATTACTTATTACAATTCTACAGCTGTTTAAGATTAAGAGAATAGTGTTGATGCATCATCATTTTTTATATTTAATAGTGAGAATGAAAAGACTCGGGGACAAAAATATACATTTGGGCAGAGAAGAAGTCATCTCTGGTTAAGACAGCTTTATTTTTCTATCAGTAACACAAGCAGTGTGGTTGTACTCTTTAGCGGGTTTCCTTCAGATGTGGTGGATGCAGTTAATTTAAAAGAGTTTAAGGGAAGCTTGGTAAATATTTCAACGATAAGGGCTGGCGTTTTTAGTTTTGTTTAATTTAGTGGATATAACAGCTTAAATAGACCAAAAGGCTACTTGTTATTTGATGGTATGTTATGTTATAATACTAGTTATAGAGTAAAATCCTATATCCAAATATTTTATTCTAATCTTCTTTGTTTTTTCTTGCATTTGTATAAAATTTTGAGGTTTATAAACACTTCGATTAAAGGTTTTTTTTGCAGACCCAAGAACAGATGCTGACAACCAAAGGGCAGATTACAGTTTGGCTAGTTTGACTGAGGGATATTGAATTGTGTAAATTAAGGAAAAGAACCATTTTAATGCATTTGGTAATACTAATATATCAACACTGTTAAAATTGAAACAATAAAAGCCAAAGAGGAATAAAATAGAAAATGCAGCTGTATAAGTTTACTTTGTTTTCTTGTAAGTTTTAACAACTATGCTAAATTGTAATAAATAAACCTGATCATAACGAAAAGAGTTGGCAAACAACAATTGATAAGCATAATGAAGCGATTTATTTTGGAGTGAACATGCTACATGTTTTATCAGAATATTGGTCTGTCTTCTTCTGGTATGGTTTTTAGCTGAACAATAATATAAATGTGTATATGTATAAATACACCTTGTGTGTGTATATATATATATATATATAGTATATTTATTTTGTTTACTTAGAAAGTTAATTTGCTTGAAATGGAAAGGAAACAAGTAGCCATAGTTGGAGCAGGAATTATTGGGGTTACAACAGCAGTGAGAGCCATTGAAACAGTACCAGGTATAGAAGCTACAATAATTTCTGACAAATTCAGTCCAAATACCACAGGGGATGGTGCAGCAGGGTTCTGGAATCCCTACCTTCTAGAAGGGTGTTCACCAGAAAAAATTGAGTAAGTGTATATATAACTATTAGTCATAAAAAATGCATGTGCAATATAATTCTGACTTTCTCTTAAGTTAAACGACTTCTGAAAATAGATGACACATTTGTCCATGCTCATTTTGTTGGTACAATTTTAATTCTAAATCACTGTAAAGGGTGCTACTTATGTATAGAAACTTGCTCATTTGTTTGACAAGTAAAGATTAAAATATGTTGCTTAGATAATGTTAAATATTCATGAAAAGAGGTTAACTTGTGACCAGGAGCTCTAGTAGTGGAAATTAGACTTGTTATTTGATATTTAAAAAGATCTGAAACTGCATTAATGTAGAATTTGTTTTTTTCAAACTTCAAAAAGAGAACAGAAATAAAACACTGGATATATTTTTATATAGCATTTCAAATTTGAAAGGTTTTTGTTTATTTTTTAGTTAATTCTAGCTTATGTGTAATTTTCACTTTTTTATTTCCATGTTGAATACTCTTATTAATTTTTTTTAATCTTTTACTTTCACAACTAGTATACTGATTCTTTATTGCACAGGGTGTAACCTTTTAATCTTTTTTTGGGGAACAGGGGAGGAACCTCTGTACAAACACTTAGTGCTCAATGATTTTGGGTACTGCTTATTTTCTGTCAGTAGCTAGTGATAATCTAGATACTGGTTTTCAGGAGTCAAATCTGAACCATAAATTCACTTCAGCATTGTTTATTCCATTAACTACAGTTGCAAGCAGAAAGTATTTTATTCTCACCAAAATGAAAAATTGGTCAGTAAGTATTTAATGTGAACACTGTTCTTTACAACACTCATTAGTTTCATTGATATATAAAACTCAATGCTCATTTGTCACACAGATGAATATAACTTGACACTTGTTAGTCACGCAGATGAACAGAACTTGACACTTGTTAGTCACGCAGATGAACAGAACTTGACACTTGTTAGTCACGCAGATGAACAGAACTTGACACTTGTTAGTCATGCAGATGGACAGAACTTGACACTTGTTAGTCACGCAGATGAACTGAACTTGACACTTGTTAGTCACGCAGATGAACTGAACTTGACACTTGTTAGTCACGCAGATGAACAGAACTTGACACTGGTTAGTCACGCAGATGAACTGAACTTGACACTTGTTAGTCACGCAGATGAACAGAACTTGACACTTGTTAGTCACGCAGATGACTAGAACTTGACAGTCATTAGTCATATGGATGACTTGAACTGGACCTATCTCGATATTATGTGAAGTGAGCAAAATTGCTTTGTATGTTAGTAGGGTTTAATAATATTACTGTTTTGATTGTGTTCAATTAGGTTACATGAAGTAGAAAAATTGGTAACATAGAGTTTGAAGGCATTTTAGTTCATCAATGAAATTCTTCCTATATTTTGAGAGAGCAATAAACTTGTTTTAGCAACAGAAGGATATCCAAGTATGTGATTTGTTATAATGTCAGTAGAGTATACAGCTATTTTATGTGAAATGCATTTGTGTGATTTTTTAAAAGTATTGGAGTAATTACTGACAATATTGACTTTGTCTCAGATATTGTGGGTTTATTTTATGTACCAGTGTATTCCCATATGACTTTGTGATGTGTGATTTGATTCTTAGCCCAGGTATTGTTTCTGCATGTATGCCATGTGAGATTCACACAGACTTAAAACTCCTAAAGTTGTGGACATAAAGTAATAAATGTTTAGAGGCTTTAATTTTCAAATAGCTTTCCTGTAGTTGATGATGGTGCTGGATACATGACAAACATTCATACGAAAGAAATAGTGATAGTTTTTGTATTCTAGCTCAGTCTTTTCAAACAAGCATGATATTTATAGATATTATAACAATTTTACTCTTTTTCAGACTTTGGTGTCAGGAGACTTTCTCTTACTTGTTAAACCTTTTGCAGTCACCAGATTCAAGCACTAATGGTATAGGACTAGTTTCTGGTTATATCTTGTCTGAACATTTCATGGTATGTCATTATCTAATATAGCATAATTAACTTAAAACGTTTTTGTGTAATTTTTCATTATATTTGTAACAGACTAAACAAAATGTTGCTACAAAAAAAATTAAAGATGTTGGACAGTTAAAAACACATTATGTTTGTATTTATATTTAAGTGCTGTAGAACTACAAGTTAAAAATTATGGCCAAGTCATTTTTTTATAATTTGCACCTGACCCGGCCCTGCAAGCTCCCAAAGCTAGTGCAACAGCCAGCCTTTGGAAGCGGTTGGTTGAAAAATTGGGTCAGAAGCGAGTGATGTCATTCAAGGTAAGAAATGGCCAGTTGTGGTTCGTTTCCTCTCTGTGCATCATTTTGTGTATGGGAAAAACTGTTGGTTTGTTTATGTGAAAACAATTTTTTCTCTGGACAAATTCCATTTGACAGACGTTTTGAATACAATCATTCATGAGTATGTTGTTCCAGAATGTAAACAACTATGGTTTTTCACTGTGTTGTGTATGGATGTGGAAATATTTCCAAGGAAAAGGAGATATCTCTGCATGAGTTTCCACCTAAGTCAGACAGAAAATGGCACATGGCCTGTACAAAGTTCATATCAAAATCTTGTGATAAATGGAATCAGACCAAAATCTGCCATGTATGTAGTGAACACTTTTTTTGGAATCAGGCTTATAAAATAAACTGCAATTTGATATGGGATTTGCAAAATAAGTGGTGCTAAAAAATAATACAGTGCCCAGTGTGTATCCAAAGTTTGAGGGAGATCCATCAAGCACAGCAAGCATCAGCCAGGCTCAAGACAATGGCACATCACACTCTTGCTCACAGACTTATAACAGAGATGATAGTTGTGTTCGATCAGTACTTCATAAACGAGAGGCATACAGGGTAAACCCAAGTTTTAGCAAATGTTTTAAGTGCAAATAGAATTGTCAGTGATCATTCAGGTTTTATAAACACACCAGTAGATCTACTAAAACAAAAACAAAGTTGATGACATTTCACTTTCAGCTATTATTTACCAAAAAAAGGGGTATGGACAAACAAGTGTCTGTTTTATTTATTTTTCATATTTATAACACTTTTTTATGAAATTTCATTGGAGATGTCAAGGTGCAACATAAAGAAATGCTAGATCTACAATATTGATTATCGAAATATGACCCCAGCTATGTTTGCTTTTCCAGTCCTAATGTATACTTAGTCATATGCATACAAAATTGAGCATGTGCAGAATACAGTATCGGGAGTCCATCAGCTTATATTAGATCTACATCTAGATCTACATCCATCACTTGAAGACACAAGTATTGGCTAGAATTTACTCATAGGTTTACTATATTGTCACCCATGTGATCATACTGATGGCTGTAAATTTCATCTCATTTTCATGACATTAGCAGTGTAAACCAGTCGTTTATGAGATTGTAATATATAACTATTGAAACAATTCCATACCAAGGAAGATCAGATGACCACCATCTTTCTCTTCATCTGCTGTCATGATTTTTGTTTACCTTGTGTGATGTAGGTTTGTTTTCCCAGTTTGCCACGTAGTGCTTCTGCTAGTTTTTGTAAAGCTAGCCAATCCTGACCAAATATGGCTTGAGTGTTTTTAATCGCATTAATTTTAGTGCAATACGATATAGATATTCAAGCACAAAAATGCCGTATTATCGGTGGTCTTTAAAATATAATAACAGAAATCCAAAATAAAACTTTTAAATAACTAAAATACAAATTTTATCACTTTCACCAAATAATTTCTAAACTTTGCCTGGCTAGACCTAGGTAGAAACATTAATAAACAATACAACATAAATCCCAGTAGTGTTATTAATTTTAATAAATGTCAAAGAAATTAGAAAAAGAACCAGAAGAAGAAAAAAAGCCCAATTCACCTAAGAATAACACAATGTTCCAAAATTAAACCACTTCTCAATAAATATCAAGGACAATATCAAATATCATAACTAGTGGCATCTCTGATCTTGCACATCATAATTAATCACTTCACGACTGGCAGTCCTACATAAGATGTGTTTTTTGCTCATTGTTTAATTAACCTACCCATACATTTTTTTTTCATGAATTTCGTGGTCTATTCTTTCATTCGGGGTGTGTCTATGAGCCAGACTAGTCTTGGAGAATTCCACTCCTCGTCAGTGACCCTGGACACTACCACCAAAGATGTTAAAGAGGATGGATGAGAGTAGGCATCCTTGTTGAACTCCAACAGTTGTTTGAAACCAGTCCACTAAGCTGCCATTATGAGGACTGCACACATGGACTTGTTATAAAGATTGGTGCTGATGTTGTACTTTCTTATGATTGCCCATAAGGCTGCATGCCCTACCATCTCAAAGGCCTTCTTGAAGACTGTGAAAACATGATAAAGGTCTTGTCGATGTTGGAGACGTTTCTCACAAAGGATCCTGAGATTGAAGATCTGTTCTATGGTGCTTTGTCCTGCTCGAAACCCTCCCTGTTCCTCAGCAATGATCTTTTCCACTTGGGGCTTGAGTCTGTTTAATATGATCTTTAACATAACTTTACTCAGGTGACTGATGAGGCTGATTATTCAATAGTTTTGGCACAGCTGTAGGTTGCCTTTCTCGGGAAGCAAGATGACCATAGACTGTGTTCAAGGGGTTGGCCATTTTCCTGTCTGCCTAATATTATTGCAGATTGCTGTGAGGGTGATGAACAAGGCTTCTCCCCCGGCCTGAACCAGTTCTGCTGGTATGTTGTCAACTCTAGCTGACTTCCCTTTCTTCAGTGGTCTTATTTTCTACTGCTTCCTGAAGTATAGGATAGTTGTCCTATTCAGTTATCTAAGGGCAGTGTAGTACTGTTGAGTCTCTGTTGGTCTTGTGGTTGTATAGTTTTGAGCAGTATTCTGTCCACCGATGGAAGATCTCTTGTTCTTTTATGAGTCATTTTCCTGATTTATCTTGGATGGTAGTGGCTCACCCTTGTTTTATGGTTGTTAGGTCTCTTACATGTTGGTATGTTTTTTTACTGTTGTTCTTATTCAAGTTTTCTTCCATTTCTCCTTTGTCTTCTTCATGCCTTTTTTGAATTTTATTCTTGACTTCTCTGTATTTTTTTACTCCTTCAGGATTGCCTTTTATCTTTTTCAGCTCTCTTCTTTTGTCACATAGGTCCAGCATATCTAGTGTAACCCAGGGTTTCTTAGTCCGACGGTACCTCCCAAGGATCTTGTTGGCTGTGTCAGTCACTGTTGTGTTGAAGGTGGTGATCATTGAATCTAGGTCTGTGTTTTCATCACCCAGGATTGAAAGAGGTGCAAACTTCCCACCAGTCATTGCTTGGAAGGCTTCTGCCACATCAGGGCCCTTCAGTTTCTCAAATGTCATCACGTTGTAATCTGGTGGTGCCTATCTCCTCTCCTGGTTGGTTGACTGTAGCTGAAATCCACATACAGTGTGACACGTCCTGGTATTGAACATGTGGCTGTTGAGCTACTCTAGGAGCCCTTCTGTCCTGGCCATTGACTTCATCAAGGAAGATGTCCACCCAGTGATGTCATGTCACCATCACACCATTTCACCCATGGTTGGGAGAATCGTGGAGGGTGGGAACGTGTTATTCCATCCCTTATAGGTCCACTGCTTATTGGTTCAATCACTTACCACAAAAATAATGAACTTATTGAAATTAAGGCTTCCAGTTATTACTCTTTTTCATTATTGCAGCTGATAGTAATCCA